CGCTTGCTGAAAAAGAAGAGTCCCATTCATTTATATGAGACAGACAGGTGAGAACACATAGATGAAAGATACAATATGTGTGCATAAATAGGCATACATGTGGATGATGGATAGATGGTCTCTAGATCATAGGTGGAAGATAGATGGTAAATAAAAGATATATAGTCATAGATGATAGTTCATAGGTAGATGATAGAAGATAGAGGATATATAGATCATAGGTGACAAACAGTAGACAGAAGATATGATAGATGATATATCATAGGTGATAGATAATAAGTAGATATTATATAATCATAGATAACTTGATAAATATAGAGACGATATATGGATTGTAGATAAAGAGGTGATAGATAGGTAGATGGATGATAGAAAGATGATACTTAGATGGAGTGAGGTCAGTGGCTAATATCTCAATAGACTTCTTCCATCTGCACATATTTTGCATTTGTTTTCTTCAGTTTGCCCTATGTAAAATGAAGATTCTCAAGACTATGGTATGTGAACTTGTGAGATAGTTATAGCTGTGTATGAGAAATTACATTCTAATTTAGTTGAAAGGATTTATAGTCTTTCTTAGCTCTAGAAATTCTTATATTTTGTTACAGTTGCTATTGAATGTTATAATTATTTGAAGATAAAAAGTAAATTGTCATTAAGCACACATTTAATTTACATAGATAGTAGGCATTTAGACGTGTTCTTTTTGTTTTCAAAGAAAATACATTGGGTTGATGTTCTTTTTAAATCACTGAGCACAATCTGACTATCCATATAAAATTCCTCAGGGCCAATATTTAATAATATAGACATAAGAAACACTGTGCATGTAATGTTGCAATGGTTCAAATACATACCATTCAACTATATAGTAAATTTTAAGGTATGATGTATTTAAAAGTGCATTTAGCACTACATTTTATATATTTGTTGAGACTTATCTTTTCTGTAACCTCTGGCATTTGAGTTCAAGTTAATCATAGAGTGTCCCAGTGATAGGGTCACAACATTAAACTCTCCTCTATCCATCACACTTACAAATGGTCCCACCATGAACACACACCACATCACCTGCCAGTTCCTAACCTATCTCTTTCTATCTCTGTCCTGCTGACAGTAAGTCCCCTCACCAGTTAATTGAATGAGTGCACCTGGAGCTGCTTCCTAAAGACCCACAAGCTGGACTTTGATGGACAGCAGAAAGTGGCACAATGCAAAAACAAAGCCTTTAACTGAGAGCCCTGCTTTGTTCTCTTCAGAACTTTAAGGTCACTCCAGCTCATTCTGGCTCTGGTGAGGATCTTAATTTTCACTCAACCAATTTACTTGCAGCTGTCATTCTTTCCAATATTAAAAGTTCAGCTCCTCAAGTGTGGGGTATTAAGGAATGAGAAGAGCTTGTTTCAAACTAAAAACAGCCAAAACAAGTAAAATCTGGCTTGGCTCTGAAGCACAAAAAGTTATTTTCAAAGCCCATAAATTATGACATAGTGATTAACATGTAATTTAAATATATTTAAACAACAATTATATCACATTTCCAGCCCAGCTAATTGGCCTCACAGATGTTCCCTTCCCGGGGAGCAGCATTGCCCTTCCAAGGGGAATGAATGAGGTGCTTTTTATTATGGAAACCAGAAAAAAGGAACATGAAAGAAAAATGGAAGCTGAAACATAGAAAGCAGCCAGTAACCCTAAAAACAATGGCTGCTGAGGGGTTTTGTGCAGCATTTTTTCCATTTTAATACTGGAAACGGGGGAGTGGGGGGCATGAAGACACTCCATTACCGTGATGATATTTGATGGTATTTGGCAGTGTGTCCAGAAATGGAGCTGGCAGGTTGCTGACTGAAAAACTTGTCAGAGCAGAGACGGCAGATGCATTCTAATAGGGCAGAGCCTCACTTCTCATCTCAGGATAGACTAACTGCAAGAGGTGCAGCTATTTACAGTCCATCACCATTACAACTGAAAGCTAGAGCCCAGATACTGAAAACAGATAATTTTGTCAAGAATAGCTTGTGAAGCCAGGCATGGTGGTTGGTGCATTCTTTTAATCCCAGCACTCATGAAGCAGAGGCAGACAGATGCCTGTTAGATCAAGGCCAGCCTGGTCTACATAGTGAGTTCCAGGCAAGCTGGGGTTCCTGGGAGACCATGTCTTGAAAAAAGAAAGAGGAAGGAAGGAAGGGAGGGAGAGAAGGAGGGCAGAAGGAAGAAGGAAGGAAGGAAGGGAAGCGGGAGGGAGGGAGTGAGAGAAGGAAGGAAGGAAGGAAGGAAGGAAGGAAGGAAGGAAGGCAGAAAAAAAGAGAATGGCTTGTGAGTTGGTTTTTTGATCACTCATCCCTCAAGTTTGAAAAAATGCAAAATGTACAAACAATGCTAGCTTTAGCTGTGATTCAAATTAAGTATTTCCTAGTAGACATTTTTGTAAAATAAAAGGCCAAAATAACAAAGGTAATTATTTGTATTCTTGAATAGCTTGCCTGCAGATATATAATTCTAAACTTGAAATAAATTCACCCCATCTCATCTCACTTTTAGCTTTTGTTTCTACTTTTATAATCTCAGGCAATATCAGATGGCTCAGTGTAAATCCCTGAAGACTAATGGCCACATCTCTTCTAGTATGCCATGGTATTTCTAACAGCTACAAGAGTGACCAATGTTTTTTATCATTAAGATTTAAAACACATTTGTTAAATACTTGCTAATTAATCAGGGCTTGATGATAAGATGAGGCTGGGGCTCCCAGTATAATGACATTCCTCCAGGCAGTTATTTGTCATTTGTATAGTTCCTCAATTTTACAAATCGCTGAACTATATAAAAACATTTCTTTTTCAAATATTATGATAAAATATGCTTGATGTTCTGTCTTTATAAAGCACTGTGAAATGTGCATATATTTATGATGACTGAAAACAGATAAATGTTCTAAAATGTCTCTCTGATAAGTAACTGACATGATTGGCTTTAAGAATTCGATTTAGCTAATGCAGATACTGAAATGCTGTATGTACCCTGCATTTATATAATAGTGTAGAGCATATTTTGTTATTCCTAAGAATAAAGTAGAGACCAGGATGAAACTAGGGTTTCTGAGACACTTCGGAGCCCTTGTGATTAGAGTTCGAGTCCAAAAATTCTAACAGGACAAAATGATCTGTGTATGGTGCAATACAACTTCCATGCATTATATGTATTAAATATATCTGTAGAAGAACACAAATGTCAATCAGATGATAAATTGAACAAGAAAACATGAAGATACACACAATAAAATATTATTTGGCCACAAAAAGGGATGAGATCTTGTCATTTGAAAAACTTTGAGTGGAACTAGAGTTTGTTATGTTAAGCGAGATAACCCAGTCACAGAAAGACAAATACCACATGATCTCATTCACTCCTATTTGGAATTAGAGAAGGAAATAATCAATTACTTTACATGCTATCACAGCTGTAGGATGAACTATGTTAAAAATTCATTCTAGAGGTTCAGGATGTCATCTTTGATTAGTCTCGCAGACCAAGTTTACTAAGTGAAATTACTGTTATAGATTTACGTTAACTATTTCCCCTGCAATTAATGTTTTTCCCAGCTTGCTTCATGAATCTGAAGTTCTATGAACTTTGATGTGAGACAGTGTTTACCTGTTTTGTCTAAATGATGTAGGTGTCTTGAAGTTTTTTGTTTTTGTTTTTTGTTTTTTTAGTTATCTCTATTCATTTAAGATAAGAAGGTAGGGAATGCCAATATTACATGTCAGCTCCTGTCCATATTATGCGTTATCCCAGTGCCTAGAAGTTCTGATGGAGCTAGCACATTCTCAGGAAGAGTGCTTAATAGTGAGTGAATATGCACGGGTCTGTTTTCATACTAAGAAACAGACTTGGTATTCAAACAACCTCTTTTCCTCATCCTAAGGAACATTATTCTTAATAATTTATCATATTTCATAATCATTTTCACATAGTCCAAAGGATAGAATACTAAGCTATAAAAGTACATTAAAAAAAAAACCCTGAAACATAGTTTACAATGACTCAAAACTACATGAAAGGAATATGAAGCATATTTCCTGGAAAAGAATTGATTTTTCAAATTTTCTTCTGTGTCTTTTTTAAAAACAGTGAGATGGGAGATAAAATAGCATGTGCCTTTTACAGGGAGACTTTGCCTTTGCTGAGGTAGTGAAAATAAATTTAGTGTAATAAAAAAAAGTATTTCAGACAAATTGAAATCCACTTCTATCCCTTCTGCACATTTTTTTTTCTTCTAATGGAAAAACTAATGCCTTGTAATGATTCAAAATGACAGAAAGTCATCAAATAGGTCATTTGATATATGAAAAAAACTTGGGGCTGGAGAGATGGCTCAGTAGTTAAGAGCATTTACTGCTCTTCTAGAGGACTAGAGTTTGGTTCCCAGTACCTGCATGGCAGCACACAATTGTTTATAATTCCAGTTCCAGGACATCTAATGCCCTCTTATGGCCCCCATGGGCACTGCATGTACAATGTGCACTTACATACATGCAGGCAAGACACTCACTCATACACATAAACTATAATTAAATAAATCCTAAAAAAGAAAGACTCATCTATATCGGGCTACAGGGAGACCACTCATCTATATCGTTAAAAAAAAAAAAAAAAAAACAAGAAAAGAAAAACTGTCCCTCATTTGAAAATACAGTTAATTGTTTATGGCTTTTCCTATCTTTTAGGGTTAATATGAAGAATAAGAATACTTATGGCCACCTTAATTATTTAATCCATTAAATGGCTTTACTTTTTCAACTGATTTTCTTTCTCTGGAATGAAGTGCTCAAACTTCTTGCTTATAAAATTTTACTGTTTAGGAAAATTCACTGTTGTGCTCTTTTACCCCTTTGGCTCATGAAACTCATGTATCTTTTCTTTCTCTTTTTTTAAAATTTTTCATCCATGTTGCCTCTTACTATATCCATCATTCCATTTTTCTTTCCTATTAGAGTGAAATTGGACACAGCCCTCCTCCTGCCTACACCCCCATGTCGGGAGTAAGTATTTCATGATCGACCTTCATCTTTTAGGAATTTTGGTCTTCACTCACCATGTTTCTTCTCTCGTCTCCCCATAATTTCCTCATTTTTGCCTTTGCCAACAGTGAGTCAAGAATTTGCTATAGATCATAGCTGCTTTTGTATATTTCTATGTCTCAGCTGATAATCTGAAGCTGAGACATCATACATCAGCAGTAGCTTTCAATTTTTATCTGAAGGATTTTTCCCAACTCATGAGTTAAGCTTCTGGGTGAAGAGGTTATCTTCATGCACACGACTGTAGGTCACGCGTTGAGAAGTTGGAATCTCAGTGCCTATCATCTGGTTAGGATCTAGACACCTAGTCATAGTAACCACAGAACAGGAGGTATTAATATCACCGTTCACACTGCTTTACGGTACTGTGCTCTTCATATCATCTGTCATGAAAATTTACCTTGAGTTTTACATCAAAGATAGGCAGTTGTGAAAAAAGAACACGGAGAAACCTGTTAGATGATAACTTTAGTCTATTTGTAACTTTGTTTCAAAATTATTTTCCATGATTTTTGCATTTTAAGAAAAATCAGGGTGAGGGCGGGGGAGATTGAACAGTCAGTAAAGCACTTGCTTCATATGCCTGAGAGACCCCGACAGCCATGTAAAAAACTGGACACTGTAATTCTAGTGTTAGGGAGGAGGGCACAGGAGGATCCTAGGGCTTGCTGGTCATCTAGGAAACCAGTGAGCTCCAGGTTCAGTGAAAATCTCTTAAATGTCTTAAAAATAAGATGGAAAACTACCAAGGAAGATGCCTAATGTTTGACCTCTGGCTTCTATGCATATGCACCTACATGCATACATACATACACATGAATATGTATACACACAGAAAAAAAGAAAAATTAGAATTTTGAGTATTTCTAGTGTTTAACTGAAATTCATTAATCCCTGAAAAATAAAAATCAGTAAATTTCATAATTTGAAAGACAAGATTTGGTATATTTTTGGTTAGTCGCATTCATTTTTCTTTTACAATTTTTCCTAACAGCATTTCTCCAAATGTGTTTGTGCTATTAACAGAATCAGTTTGTATATCGAGATGGGGGCTTTGCTACCGAACAAGGAATGTCTGTGCCCTACAGAGCCACGACCAGCACCATCCCAGAAGCTGCAGTTGCCCAGGGTGCAACAGCAGAGATTTTCGATGACTCCTGCTGTAATGGTACCCTCCGCAAGCCAGCTGCACCCCATGTCCCAGAGGACAGTAGCACCCAAAGGTACAGCGCTGACCCCACAGTATTTGCCCCAGAACGAAGCCCACGAGGAGAGCTGGATGAAGAAGGCTACATGACTCCTATGCGAGACAAACCCAAACAAGGTACAAACAGACTGTTTAGGAGTGATTGTCCCAAATGATCACCTCCATCAAAATAAGAAATGCAGAATGAAAGTTTATAGACAGCTGAATTGTGTGACATTTGTGATCTATAATAGAAAAGGCCTAGTTTTACCATTACTACAGTATAGTTCCTGAATGGGTGGCATCCACATTACCTAGACACTTTTTAAAAATCAGAATCCCAGGCTCCACCTGAACAAGAAATTGGATTTTAGCAAAATCCTCAAGTGATCTGTATGCACAGTGAAGCTTGATAAGCACTAAACTAAACCCACCTTTCCTGGAATATTTAGATGAGGTAGGGTGTCAAAAGATCAGAACCACTGGTGTGTTGAACACAGAGATTGTAAAGATGAGTCTAGCTGGCAAATGACTAAAGCTTCTGATGCCCTTAATAAAAGATTTGATTTATTTAAAACATGCCATTTAAATAACCTGTTTAAGGGTAGGGATGTGACTCACTTGTAAAGTGGTTTCTTAGCATCCATGAGAACTTGGATTCAGCCCCCAGTACCACAAATATATATAACCTAGTTTATTAGAGAAAATTGATGTTTTTGTATAGAACTCTTCAGAAACAAATTTTGACTTTGTATGTACATACATATATGATAAAGTCTTGAAAATAGCTTGTGATTTCACTAAACCCAGCAATGGCTTCATAAAAGTTAATCACAGAAAGGTTAAAACACCACATCAAATAGTTTCAGTTTTGAAAAATAGACAAAAACCCTCTTTGCTTCTGTGCCAACAGTCTCCCAAAAGAGAGACAAATAATTGTTATTTAAAAAATGATCATCATGGGCTGGAGAGGTGTCTCAGCAGTTAAGAGCACTGGATGCTCTTATAGAGGGCCCAGGTTCAATTCTCATTACCCACATGGTGGCTAACAACCATCTGTAACTCCAGTTCTGGGGGATCCAATATTCTCATTTGACTTCCGTGGGTACTGCACAACAAGGGTATACTTACATACATACAGGCAAAACAGTCATGCACATAAGACAAAAATAAAATTTAAAAATTTAATTAAAAAATAATCATCATGTTTATGCATGAAAAGTGAGCTGTAGTTTAAGACTATAGGTCAATTATGTTCCTTCTTATATGCTTGGCTTCACTTTTTCTTTTTGGACAGGGTCTCCCTACTCCCACGCAACCTGGGAGTCACTATGTAGACCAGGCTGGCCTCAGTCTCACAGAGATCAGCCTCCCTCTGCCTGTGGAATTAAAGGCATGTACCACCACACCTACCTTGAGTTCACTTTTTATAAAACACAACTGATAGATCCCTGAGTATATCCTGTAAATAACAATGTAATTAAACAGTTCAATGTACATAGGTCCCATGGCAATGAAAATGTAGAGCTTGGTGAAGATTTCTATGCAAAAGGTATATTTTTAAAGATTTTATTTTATTTTTTCTTTATGTGTGTCTGTCTGTGTTATATCACACGTAAACCAGTGTCCATGGAGGCCAGAAAGGGTATAGGAGTCCCTAGAGCTGAGTTCCAAATGGTTGTGAACCACCTGATGTAGGTGCTGGGAACCAAACTTCAGTCCAGTGCAAGAACAGCAAGTGGTTGTCATCACTGCTCCAACTCTCCAGCCCTGCAAAGGGTATTTAACCCTGCTAGGTAGCCCATGTAAACAGAAGCATTTACATAACAAATGTATGACATCAGACAGAAGCATTTAGAAGGGAAAAACATTATACAGGATAAGAATTCTAACCTTGGCAGTGTCGGTGTCTTGTTTCGTCAAGAATCTTTTTCTTGTTTTGCTTTGGCCCTCTCCTTTCCTCACATGCATGTCACAAGGTACAAATAATTCTCTGAGAATTCATAAAACAAAATCTGTGGCTCTCTTGTTCTAAATAAAAAAGCTAACCGTTGCATTTAACCTTAGTCTGATTAACAATTTTCTGACAGTAGATGTTGATGGTATTTTTATATTCTTCCAGAATACCTGAATCCTGTGGAAGAAAACCCTTTTGTGTCACGGAGAAAAAATGGAGATCTTCAAGCTTTGGATAATCCCGAGTATCACAATGCGACCAGTGGTCCGCCCAAGGCGGAGGATGAATATGTGAAGGAGCCGCTGTACCTCAACACCTTCGCCAACGCCTTGGGGAATGCCGAGTACCTGAAGAACAGCATTCTGTCTGTTCCGGAGAAGGCCAAGAAAGCATTTGACAACCCTGACTACTGGAACCACAGCCTGCCACCCCGGAGCACCCTTCAGCACCCAGACTACCTACAGGAGTACAGCACAAAATATTTTTATAAACAGAATGGACGGATCCGGCCCATTGTGGCAGAGAATCCTGAATACCTCTCTGAGTTCTCGCTGAAGCCAGGCACTGTGCTGCCCCCTCCGCCCTACAGACACCGGAATACTGTGGTGTGAGCTCAGCAAGGGTTTTAGGTGGATACACACACCCACTCCATTTTCCCACCCCACCCCCTCTTTCTCTGGTGGTCTTCCTTCTACTCCCAAGGCCAGTAGTTTTGACACTTCCCAATGGAAGACATAGAGATGCAATGATAGTTATGTGCTTACCTAACTTGAAAAATAGAAGGAAGGACTGAAAGAGAAAGATAGGAGGAACCACACTGTTTCTTCATTTCTGCACATGAGTTGGTCAGCAGAATGCCTGTGAGAGCTAGAAAAGGACCAGAAAAAATAAGGCGATTCTACCTTCAACTTCCTTCCTTTTTCTTTTCTCTCTTTCTCTCTCTCTCTCTCTCTCTCTCTCTCTCTCTCTCTCTCTCTCTCTCTCCCCCCCATGATTGAAACCCCAGGATCAGTTCCCATCTGCAGTAATTGATATGTGCGTAGTCAAGATCACTGGAAATAATGCGAAAGCTACCATTAGAACAAAAGGATAAGCATTTGGAAACATTCCCTAGTAACTGAGATTGAGAAACCAATTTCTTTCTATCTTGGCAAGTAAGAATGGCCAACCCAGCTTTTATAATTTTTAAATCTCCATCGTAATTATAATTAGTAATTATGTTTGGAAGGCATATTTGCTTTTTCATTTGGGTTCGCTTTGGCCTGTTTCTCATATTAGCTATTCCCCCTCATTTGGCTATTGTTTCTAGTTGCAAAGATACTTACATAAAAGTTTGACAGAATTGTAACAAAAAAAAAATGTGATCTAAAAGTCATTATTCTAAATTATGCAATCTTTAAAATTAGAAGAGAAAGCCAAGATATTAGCATAAAAATCCACATTTCATGTCTCAAACTATTGAATTTATCCTCCCCTGTCATTTACATTCTTCAACATTTTCTTCTTCTCCTAAAATGACAGTCTTTGATGAGCAGTTGATCATTTTAATAGTAGGGAAGCTAAGAAACAGTTCTGTGTGGTTTAAGAAAACTACTGACACTTTCAGGGGTGGTCCCATGGGGGGATCCATACAGTGGAAGAAACATACTGGATTGGGTATGTCCACCTGGCAGGTACTCAGAAATGTAGTTTGCACTTAAGCTCTAATTTTATTTGTTCTTTTTCTGAACTCCATTTTGGATTTTGAATGAAGCAATATGGAAGCAACCAGCATATTAACTAATTTAAGTACATTTTTTTAAAAGGATGTAAAATAAAGACAGACTATGGAAATGCCAAACTAAGCCAATTCGGACTTTGGAACAGTAACCAGGGATTATGGTGAGAGAGCCAGCACATTTATCTACATATGGTTAGGACATTTGCTACATAAGGAAGTCTGTTCAGTTTGTATTCTCTGTGTAAAGGAATGCAAGTTATGGGCAGGCTTGAATTCTGTGGGATTTCTAGAATGAGAGTATTTATATCCAGTAGAAGGTAACTCTTTGCACATAAATTGGTATAATTAAAAGAAAACCACAAACATTCAAAATATATAAATAGGTCAGCCTTTAAAGTTGTAAATAAACATGAAAAATCTCATGCAACTATTTTATCATCAAATGCATTAGTTTTTTAATAATTTATGTAATGATTCTCTCTTCACATACTGCATCCTAGCTGAAGAACCATCTCTCTATTAGGTTTGATTTTAAAAGAACACCTATGGAGTTGAGTCATGGGAACAAACGAAAGAACTGAACTTCTAGGAAATAAGGAAAGCTAGATGTGTCTCTCTCTTGTCTACAAAATTATTCTCCAAGATATTTAGTTCTAAAAAATTACTTCTTTATACTAAAGTATTGGGCCAAAATTATATTCGACATCCTAAAAATATTCCATCAGACTAAAATTCTCCATTGGTAAAGCAGAGAGAGTTTAGGGAAAAAGGTTGTTCAAGGAAATTTATGTTTCCACCTATTTTGAAAAAATAAATCCATCCATGCAAACTTAGATTTATTCAATTGATATTTATTTAAAGTCTGCTGAGGTGTATGGGGGGGGGGAATAGCCCAATAAATGAAATATCATCCCTGACTTCAAATTCTAAGAGTCTAGATTTATTTGGAATGACATTTAAACTTCTCTGTAAGTCCAAGGAATCAGATTGCATGAATTATTTTGTGAATGGCATCATAGAACAGGTTTCTAGTAAATGAGCTTCTGTGAACTCAGAATATAAATTGCACATCCTTCAAATTTCTGAAGTTGACAAATAGGACCAATTTGATGTTTTCTTTTAGAAACTAACTGGTCCAGAAAGACTGCATCACTGGCAAACTGTTATATCTGGAGTCTAACTTCACCATGAAACCAGCAGCAGGTGGGGACTCTTAGCCAAAATCCTTGGAAATATCAGGGTTGGTCTGAAAGAGTGGGAGTAGAAAAAGGAGAAACACTTGCGACATCTTATCTAGTGAAATTCAACCATGACCTTCTGAGGGATGAAGACATGGAATGATCCAGGGGCCTCATAGCCTAAAGCTCTCCAGCCCAATTCAGAGGCATCTGTAAGAAAAGGGACTTCATATCACTATCTGTGAAGATTTGAAAATAAGTCTTTCTTCATAGATAAATCTGCAACTAACTTTTACTGGCAGCACATTTGGAATACTCATGACTTTTTCTGTTCACTTACAATATTCATATGCCTCCTACTGAGATTTAGAAAGCTTACTTGTTTAATATGTAGAAAAAAAAAGGTAATCTTTTAACTCTTAAAGTAACATAAACATATTCAGTGAATTTGTTTCCTTCTTCCCTAAAGGCACATGGTTTACGGTTCAGATAATCGCCCTCCAATCTAGAGATGGAAGCAAGTGTAATCAGAATGACCCCAGTGCTACTGTAGCATTCCTGGTTTATGATTTTTCTAGTATATTCTGGATTTCAGTTGTTTGGGAATTTCTTTTTTAAATCTTAGAGTCTTAGGAAAAAACCTTTAAGACTATATTAGAGGGACAAAGAGTGTGGAAAAAAGAAAAGATTTCATTTACTGAAGAGAATAACTTGTTTAACCCAGTAGACTGAAATTTTAGAATGCCAGTTAAACCTCATAAATCACTATGTAATACAAGATGCTTGGGGTCAGCAGCACCAATAGAAATCTGCAGAATAAATTTGTAAGACTGAGAAAATTTAATTCTAAAATTAAACTGACTATAGTTTTAAAATTATCAAATTATAATTATGCTTATCTTGGGGAATCCTATTTTCAGTCATGGAAAAATGTTCAGGTAAAATCATTGCTTAAAAAGTAGTTCTTAAACAGATAAGAAAAGATGCTAAATCAAAATAGAACCAGAGCCCACAAAGATTCTGTAACACAGAGCGATGCTGAGATAACAGAGAAATTCTTGGTGTTCTGTATGATATCAGTAGCACAGGGTAGGATAAGGTCCTCTCTCTACATGCTTTCCTGAAATATTATGAAAATAGAGCAGATTTCAAACTATTAAAACACACAACTAAAAATGAAAGACTTACTAAATAAGAGACTTACTTGCTTTACAGTAAGGAAGACTAATTCTAACTTGGAGGAAGAAATAGGGGAAGTCTAAGAGTTATATTGTATGTGCCAATACCTTCTGAGAATGTCACATAAGGCCAGTGCTGAGGACAGGTTGGTAGAGGGCTGTGAGGGTTTGCTGCTGGATGAATTTGGAAGGATGGTCAATATACTTCCTGAAGTGTCAAAACTGAAAAGAAAAACAAATTGTTTATGGCTGAGAGGGAAGGATGTAAATACAACATTTTTTTTTCAAACTGTCTAACCTTTATTTAAAAACTAGAATTATTTATCCATCTGTAATTATTAATTATTTAACTAGAATATGTAGTTCATAAGGTAATAGAAAAGGTGATCATGAAAGCATGTGTTCAACTCGGCAGAATCATGATACTGTTGTAGGACGTAGATTTAGTTAGGTTATCAAATGTTAAATGATCTTAATATTAAATAAATCAAACTAGAGAACTAACCACAAGGTATAACTTAACAAAATAAAATTCAGGATATGAAAATATAGGATGGATTTTGCATAGAAAATAGAAATAAGTTAGCCATTTAAAATGGTTACTGGTTGGGTTTAGCTGAAAGTAGACACACGTGGCTTCAGTTATGAAAATTTGCTTAAAAGCACTGCAGTTAATTCCAACTCATTTCTTTATTGTGTTTTAAATGTATTAAGTGTAAAGCAATTTTTATATCTTTGACTTTATTTTGCAAACATCACTTTGTAGTGTTTAACAGGCAAATAAATTACATGTGAGTTTAAGAGGTCTTCAAAACAAAGTAAAGGAAGTGAAAAGGATCTATTACATATGAGCACGTCTAACCATATACATATATATGTATATATATATATATATATAATTTTTTCTGATAAATAGATGCTAGGATGCTAAGGCAAGCATTTTAAACTACTGAATTAGCATTGTTTTGGATTCTAGTTATTTGACTGATGATTTGTTATGGGGCAAGTGAGAACTCCAAAGGTGTAAGTTTCTTGTAATTAAAAGCCAGGCAAACCAACACCTACCACTGAAAGAAATGTGGACACATAGAAGGGGACTCTTATCTCCTGCTGTCTATCTGTTTAACAAATGACATCTGAATGTGGGTAAGGTATAATTTTAAAGGATCTTTGACAGTGGAGACCTTTTTCTTACTGATATCAAGATGAGGCCAGCTTTTGTGCTTCTGGGTAAAATAGACACAGTTTTTTGAGATTCCTTTGCGGGAGTTCACTCTGCTTGTGTAAGCATGAGCTGTCATGAGCACTGGGTTAGGCTAGGGCTGCTTGTGTTTGTGTGTATGACTCTCTTTAATAGCAGGGGCTGCTTTGTTCCTTTCATTAAAGGAAAATTCTCTAAAACAGTAGGAATTCCAGATCCATTCTGTTCCAATCCCACTGATACAGTAGAGATACAATGTAGGATGTCTTACTTTTGTAGGCTCCTGCCTTGTCTCACTTCTGGCCAAGAGATGGTTTGGGCAGAAGAAAATGCTTCTAGAGTCACAGGGTGAAAAGACTTTATGCCCCAGTTTCAAGGGAGTGTTCATATGCGTCCTGGATGACAGTTCCTTGAATGTCAACTTTGTAAGTAAGTGATTATCTTATTTAAGGGATACAGAAATTTTGTTTCTCTATGAACTTTGGAGGAAAATAGCTCCTTTATGGCCCCATGCCCAGTTGGCACAATACCTTCTCACCCCTCCCCCTTTCTACCACTATTCACAGTGGCTCCTGAGGCTGTTGCTGTTTAAGCCATAGTGGATCTACAATGACCCACACGCTGCTCTGTGAAATACTGACCTAGCCTTTGCTCCCAAATACCTGATTTTTTTCCTAAAAGATCTGACCACTTTGGACAGTGCTTAAATTACTTTGCAAATAAATGACAGCACAAACAAATATTTAAGGTGTTAAAGCTGCTTTTCCATGATAACTGATTCTGTAGGAATTTGTGATGAGATAGCTCTTTAATGAATCTTGAAACTCACATTGTGTGCATGTTCTCTTACAGATATCTGATTTAATCTTCCCACAAAAACCATATATATGGATAGAGTATATATATACATATATATGTATATGTATGTTATTTTGCCAACTTTGTTTACCCAAGTTTATTCCTAATTACAAATATTTTGGTAGATTTTTTTTTCCAAATGAGTTTTAACATCATAACAGTAGAGGCTATTCACTTTTGAGAGTCTCCTGCAACTTTTATCAAAATATCCATTCATTCACGCAACAAATTTATCAAGAGTGTAGTTTCAGTGTAATGAAAATTCTAATCTTCTTTTCACTTTTTCTCTATAAAGACAATTTTCTTTCAATGCTCTACAGAAATTTCCCCATGTCATGAAAAGTGGTTATATTTGTATAAATACACAAGTACAGGAAAACAAAGCTTCATACCTGTAGGCAATAGTTTAACTTGTCCAAACCACTTTGCCTTTTACTGTTATTCTTTTCCCAATGCGTAGATGCTTCTTGCAGGCCTGTCCCTTTTGAAGGAAAGCAAACCATACCTCCTGTATATTGACATAACCTTGTTTTCAAGTATCATATCCAGACTTTCTACTTAATGGAGGGGTTGTACCTTTTCCCTTAATGTGAGAGTCATTCCCCTGTATATTTCTGGATCTCTCAGGGGCTGGGAGCGGGGAGTGAGGGGGTGATAACCATAGTACTCCAAGAACCCTTTTGGAATTACTCCAGTAATCAGCTATAAAGTTATTTTCTAAGTGTAGATGTGTAAGCTGTTCTTTTAAAGTAAGGTACGTTGAAATATGTAGCATAAACTGGTACTGCTGTTAAATGGGTCGACTATTAAACTGAGCAGCTATGTGAGGGCAGCTAACTTTGAATGCACGTCTCATTGTCTGGTGTGTCTACATCTCATCTTGTAAGCACCAAGGACTGCACTGGTACATGTTGAAACTGCATCTTCACATGTTGGCTACTTGGCTATCTCTTTTCTGAGCATTATTATAGCAAGATCAAATTAAAATGAGTTCAATGTGTAAGACAATTCATTGCAAAAATATAGGTCACATTAAATCTCTCAAGATTCATCTCGTGCACACATCAAAATAGTTCACTAAGGTCAGTTTGAATGATAAAGGGAGACAATTTACTGAAAAGATGGAGTTGTGTTCATGTTCTTATTTCCTTGACTGGTAAATAGAAAACAAGCCCTCTCTCTTCTCAAGAATCTTCAAAGGACAGGGGTGCAAAAATAGCTTGCTGGTAAACCATGAAAGTTTCATTTAAATCCAGCATTCAAAGTTAGCTGCCCTTTTGAAAAAACAAAAAATACTACTGTATGTTTGAAAATGTGAATAGTATTTTTATAGCTTGTTAAAGAAATGGCTAGCTGCATTTGTAAATAAGGATAATGTTGCTTTGATTTTCTTTCGTGAACATTTTTATTTGGAACATAATTGTCTTTAGGGTTGATTTGTATATAAGTAATTGGCTGTGATTGTTTCTTCTTGGGTTGGAAGTTATCATTTTGACATTACTTGTGATTCCGTGTTCAGCACTATTGTGATGTGTCCAACTTCTGCACTTGCTTACACAATAGGATGTGCCAATTGTGTGTGGTGTAATGTTATCTTAATTTTTTTCTATTTTATCTATGAAGGATTATGCACTTAACACATACTAACTTTTTTAATGTTAGGTATATTTTTAGTATAATTTTCCTCTTCTTCTCCTCTACTCCCTAACCCTTTTCTCCCTCCTTTCCCCAATTTCTGTTGTTATTTGAGAATGAGGGAGAAACTGTATTTTAAATTTATGTAATTAGGCTTTCTGAGTTAGTTCTCAAGGATCCTCTTTGGCTCTTGGGAAAGAATTGTACCTGTACAAGGCAATTATAGAACGCGAACTGCTTTGCCTCATTCCGTACTGATCACCCAGCTGAACAATTTGAAAACTGTTCTGCCTTTTTGTTACATGAATCTGTCAGAAATATATTTTTAATTTAATATAAATGAAATTCAATAAAATATGAAACAAATGTTCTCTTCTGTGTCACATTTTTTTTAATAAGAAAAAGAAGTGTGGGAAGAGAAAGGATTTTTCTGCATTTAATAACCTAAAGATGTGAAAATGGGTTTATTTTTGTCCATGTTTATAAATCTCATTAATTATTTCTCAAAACCTTTTGGTTGGCTGGACTGTGATACATTGCATATGATTTTATCATCCAAGGCATATGCCTATTAATTCAGACTTACTCATCTGCACAGATTGTGTTTAATACATAGTTAACTGTAGTTGGTTTGTTTCCTTGTGAATAAAAGAAATATAAAATATTTTGTAGAATGAATCCAAATAACATTTGTTTTCTTTCTTCTCTAACTTTAGAGTTCATGAAAAGCATTTAAAAAATATATTTTTTATCGATTTTTGTGGACTTTAATAATTCTTAATTATATTTGGAAACCCCTTCCCTATCCACACCAGCCCCATAGCCCACCCACAGGACTTCATGCATTATAAGATATCTGTTAAGGCCTATTGAATCAAGTTTGTGCATCCAGATGCCTCTTGGTGTGACTTCAGCACTCCTTTAAAAAAGATCAGTTCTCACTCACCCAGCAGTGATCAGCTGCCAATAGTTCCTCACCAAAGCTGTAGCTTCCTGCCCATTTCCCCAGTTCTATGCTGGTTTTTGTATGGGAGTTTGCACGGCCTTGAGCATGCTGTCATCACTGTAGTAAATTCATTTGAGTAAGGTCCCAAGAGCCTGTAAGACTGTTTCCTTATGGCCATGTACCTCCTCCCCTGGTTGCCAAATGGCTGCACAATGAATACAGAGACCGAAATGAGACCTTACATCATCAGTTAACTAATGACATAAGCCTGTGGAACTGTGGTACATTGATTTAAGAAAGGAAAATGATCTCCTCTCAACTCTTTATTACATCTTTTCTATTCAAGTGTTGTTCTAGTCATTCATGCCTATGAAGTCTAAGAATTTAAGATTCTAATACTTTCTCAATAAAATGTATTCTTTCAAACTACTGTGCTGCTTTGATTATACATGATTTCAACTAAATCAACAGACAAAAAAGCATTGTAACATGACATTAGAGAAAGTTCATTTAAACTTGGTCAGTTTGGGTACTTTAAATAGCCTTTTAATAATGCCCTTTTCTGTTTGCACAGGCATACCCACATACCCACCCTTAGATATTTTGACCTTTTCATTGGAAATCACTGTCAATTCACTGTGTTCAGGGGGAAAATGTCAGTACACCATTCATTTAAGCCATAGATAGACTAAGGAAGGGGGAAAAACAACTTGTTTTCCTTATGCTTTAATATACAATTGAAATTTCCAATGGCACCATGATAATTTATAGCATCTCTCATATTTACTGATTATATAGCTGTTCACAATGTGTAACTTTATTATACATACATTGACTCATTTGGTAAATATGGATCTTTATATTTACAGACAAGTGTACCATTCACCACTCATCAAAGAAACTTCTTGTTGCAACAGATGGAGATTATTACAGAGTTCCACAACTGGTCACACACAGAGAATAAACATCTGAGAGATGCCCAGCACTAAGTAACACATCTACAGGGAAATCTCTACACCTAAGGCTCATGGAACATAGCAAAACAGGGGCTAGAGAGAATACTGTTACATCTCTCAACTCTCACTAGTGAAGCTTCCTCGTGCAACAGAACATGTCCTGCATTATTCTTAGGGCGTTCTCATTGTACTCCTCTAGAGGACTACTGGTATTTGGTGGGGATATGTTGTTTTGGTTTTTCA